CGGACCTGTAAAGTCCTGTGAAGTTACGAAATTGTTCAAGTGAGTCACGCTGTTCACATGAGTTTGCAGAAGTTCACAAGCTAAGCTGAGTGCTTTTCGGTACCCCCACCAAGCCGAACTGTTCCCACTTCTCTGATAGAGTGTGAATTTCTGCCCGCAAGTCTAATTATTTCTTCCAGAATTGCCGCGTTGTACAGTTGGCGCTACAAAAATCTTGGTAATCTTCCGCATGTTGAGGCTCTACCGCAGTTCCAGGTTAGGAACCTCAGATGATTTTTTCGCTTAGGACTTTTGTGAATTTAGTAGTCATTTTTCTTGATTCTATTGCGTATTTTTCAAAGGCTGCCAATGCTGGATTCGCGTTCAATTATCAATTGATCGATGTGCCAGACTTCAATGGGGTAGGAGAGTCGCAGCCAAGTCCGTATTACTACCAGGCAAGTTTTTTGAATATTCTAGGAACAGGACACTTTTCCATATTTTCCCTATCAAACTGGATGTTGTTTTAGAATCTCGGCGAGGCGGAATATGCTGTGGCATTGTTCACCTACATGCGTATCATTGGCTATCCAGCTGATAAGATCTCCATAATTACCACTTACAATGGACAAGTAAGTGACGTCATTCTGCAGTGCAAAGTTTGCCCTCTTATTCGACAGCAAGAAATGGTTTCTCATTTTTATAGGCTCAATTGATACGGGACGTTGTTGAGAGACGTTGTGCGAATAATCCTCTTATTGGAGTACCAGCAAAGGTAAGCAGCTATTTATTTTTGTCAATACTTGTTCTTCCTTATTTGCAATCAAAGTCTGAGAATTTGATTTCCACTATCTTTGACAAGCAATCAAGCATCTCGGTTAAAGACAGCGTTCGCGATTAACGTACCTGCGGGAGCCCTTTCGGGGCAGGTGTCACGTTCCGCAGCCGTGGGAATGTCCCACTTTCAAGGCTAAAATTCTTGAGACATGCCTTGCTTGAGAAAATGGTCAGTTATCCCGCTCCAAGACTAATGTTAAGTTGGCAAATAACGCGAAAAGTTGAAAAGAATGCAGAAGAAGCATCTCGAAATGGCTTATGTAGAGTCCCATGCGATACCGCGGTTGCATATATAGGGCGCAGAAAGGGCTTGGTCGGACGAGTTATCGCTTATCGGTGTCAGCTGTCTCTTCTTATCACCCTCACGCAGAACAACAGCTGCGGAAGTAGTACATTCTCCATGTTTGCGTACAAGACTAGCTTACCGTAGAAAGCGTCTGAACATCAAGTGAACGCGGAGTGTGCCTTTAAAGGCAGATGGCACGATGGTTTCCCACTCGGCCTAAAATGCTAGTAGGGCGCTATGTAGTGGGGAAATGGCGAAAGAACGGAGTGAAACGGTCAAAATCCGGCGAAGAAAAAGCCTCCGTTCTCAGTGACTTGTAAATCGATTTCGGACGAGTTTCCCGTACGCATCTTGCCAATCACCGCTACCGAAGATACGGCTGCATATGTGTACCCATATATGCATGCAGCATCACGGCCGCTTCAATCCCTTTGCTTCATTCATAATTTGCTCAGCAAATCAATGAATACGAGCGTTAGGAACGGTCGTCCGTTTGTGGGCGGGCGGGCGAGGAAGGCGTTTGGGATAAAATATTGTTGCTCGATAGGATTATAGGGACCTCTTGGAAAAGGCACCACGGAGCGCCTGTCCGAGGTCACGGAATTCTGTTAAGCCAGTCGTATAAATCCTACATCTGTATAGCGATTTATCGTGCCAACTGCCTTTGATTATATCGGGGGGGGGGGGGAGGGGGGACTTTATGCAGCATCGTCGTCTCCGCGTTTCATATTATGATCGCCATTTTGTCTGTTCTGCCCTCAGTTTTTCTCGGCCATATATACTAGGATGCTTAGAACCAACAGATATCTTATTTTGAGCTTTTTGAACGGTTCCTTCTGACTTTCTCCTCATGAGTGTTCCTGTTTTCGCTTACCACATGGTCTAATAATTGAGTATCAATGCCTGCTGATGGTGATTTTGGGCGCTGCCTTATGTGACATGTAGCGCTCAAGTTCTGTTTTAATACGTGAGCTCTAGCGGACTGCTTCTTCATGGTGAACCCTTTCTTCTCCACCACGATATTCCAACTGTCGATAAAATATCAAGGTCACAAAAACGACACTAACAGTGTATCCTGTCACTCCTGGTTAGGACGAACAATATCGGACATATAAGGTATGTTGATGGGGTGAAGGTGGTGAAGTGGCCAGGTGCATGCTTACCACGCCACGGTAAAGGACCGGATCGGAGGCGGAACACTGACCTGTGCTACATCGCGGCCCTAGGTCATTTTATATAGGTCAGTCGTTCGCCATAAAAAGCCACCAGATTCTGAATGGGATTGGAATGTGTACCGTATCCCATAAGGGACTTAACAGCGGCGAAGAATTTATCCTTTGATCCTATGGCATGTAGAACAGAATCTGTTTTGACAATGTAGAACAGAATTGTTTTTTGAGCTAGTGAAGGCAAATGAGTATGAGGTGGGGAGGCGGGCTTATCGCTATCATGCTCCCTTTCCGGATCTCGCCGCCATTACGTTTCACTTAGGACCGGCAGCATGTGCTTGAATTTCATTTCGCGCCTTAAAAAGGCCTGCTGTGGTAGGGTGATTTCTATAGAAATGCTGCCGGAGAAAAGGAGGGCCGGTGGTCGGGCTGGAATGCCTGTGAATTTGGACTGACGATCCCACCATGTAGGGCTATTTATAACTAGATACTTTTTCTTGCGCGCTTTGGTAAATCAAATTCCGTTTCTTCAAATCATCATTGGAGGATGACTCATTAATTTCAGAGACGTGCGCGTTTGGTAAGTCAGCTCTGTCGTCGAGCTCGACTTGGTCTGTATGTGCTGTGTCGAGCCAGTCTTTTCCGCAATTGCTTTGAACTTACACCCGCATTCAGTATTGTACGTTATGGCTTTCTTTAGTTGTCGCATTATTTTTATTTTTCTTATTTTTATTTTGAATTTCATTTTTATACCATTGCAGCTATGTCAACGACCTCCTCGATTACTAATCATCCCCAGCGGAGCCCGTATCCAACTCAGAGGAAGGTTACAGCCATGGTCATGCTCTCTCATTCACAAATTCTCTCTGCTCCTCTCTCTCTCTTCTCTCTCTCTCTCTCTCACTTCTTTATTAATCAGATTGAACTGCCAGAACTGCTGAAATACTGCTGATTGTATTTAGAGTGGAGAGAAATCTAGTGATGAAGTCATAACGATCGAAAATACTGTACATATGTCAACATTTGTGCATGACTTCTACGTGAGCAATATGGAAGCAATGCGTGTCAATTATGAAAAGGCTATGGAAGAATATCGACGCCAAGTGCAGGTGAGTCAAAGCCAAATGTTGGCGAAGGTGGCTCAGAGGCTTTATTCATGCCCACATTATGGATAGAAAGGAAGAAGCATTCGGCTTTGACCAATACTATTAAGAAAAGCGCTACGCACTCAGTTTTCACTGAGAATCTTGATACTTTGAATCCAAGTTGGTTTATAGGATGGCTTGCGAGAGTCATATGAAGTGCGAAACTGGTTTCTTATTCGAAGTATGTGACAATGTAATCGAAAATCGCGTTGGGCGGTGTGGCGAGACGGTCGCCGTGCCGGATGGACGAGTTGCCCTTCCTGGACGTTGAATATGAGTGTCAAAGAGATGGCAAAGTTCGAAAAGTCCCGGCCTCAAGACTTACAGTTGTTTGAATTCGTATGAGTTTCGCTGCTTCTACTGACGAACTGGTGCACATCGACAATTTGCCGCACATGGCCGCGCGAATACCTCAGGCGCGGCGACGCGACAAAGTATGGTTGTCTTATGCGTGTCCCTATTGCTCTACCAAACCCGAAAGGATGAACGTCATTATGGGCCAACACAGGAGCCGATTTGGGACCCGACCACTCTACCGCGTTCGTGGCAGTCCTGCCATTGGAGAAATGTGTTCAAAATACGACCTTCCTGAATTTCCACCTCTGATACGACCCCCTCTTCCCCACCCCATCTTCCTAATTTCTTGCAGCTTCCTTCCACGTTTCTCCCAATCCTTTGCCGTTAAGGGAGGGCGATGGCCAGGAAGAGCTACATAACGTGTTTGAAAACAGTCAACAACTTACTTGCTAAGAATCGGAAAACATCCTTCTCAGAGGCAAGTACGACTTTCCTTGCCTTAAATGACCGAACGAATACCATTCAGGGCACATCATTGGTTGGGGATCTTAGTCGAGTCCGTACTCCGCCCCCTTTCTTTGGGGATTGGTACGACCACTCCCCCCCCCCTCCGGCCGTCGAGCGGGGGAGGGGGTATATAGTACGCATGAAACAGGAAAATCATGAAAAGTCAACCACCATTCCTAGAAAAGCCAGAATGTAAATACGACCCCCCCCCCCTCCCCAACAATCAGCAAGTACGACCCCCCTCCCCCCGCTCGACGGCCCGGAGGGGGGGGGGGTGGTCGTACCAACCCCCAAAGAAAGGGGGAGGAGTCGTACGGACTCGACTAAGATCCCCAACCAATGATGACGTCCGTGAAGCGAGAAAAATCAACTATCAAAATAAATTTTTCTCAGCATTGCGACCCCCCTCTCCTGGCGGCCAAATACGACCCCCTCCCTGTTGGGGATTCCCCAACAGCGATGTGCCCTAATACCACCTCCTCGCTCACCGTACGAAGTGCCCTGACCGCAGTGTTATGCGGCATTATTTGCCTCCACGCCACCCCTTCTTTTTATGTAGTCATTTAGATGTAGCAGTTTTTCTTTCGAAGAATAGGCGCTTACTCAATGCTTTCAGAAAGTAACGCTCCCTCCAACGCCAGATGAACCAGAAGTGCCAGAAGATGTGCGAAAAGCTCAGGAGAAGAAAGCAAAGGCTGAAAAAGCTCAGGGGCCTGAACAAGAAAAGGATATCATGTTTGAGAGCATGGACTTTGAAAGGCTCGAAGAGGTCCCAAAGTATTAAAAGTTGGTTTATC